TTCCGGAATCATGGAGACATATTCTTGGATGCCATACAAAGATCTTCGAACTGTTAAATATGATCAGTCAAAATACTACGATTATATAGTATGTTGTGGAGGTTTAATTTTTACTGGAGAATGCTTCCAAGGGGCGAATAGAACCTTGAATATACACCCTACATGCGGCCTATGTCTGCCTTCAAATGTTATGATTTTACATGATAATCAAAATTCCCTTACATTGTCTTTCAAAGTATTTTACTCGTCATTTTCAAGTTAATAAATTCGTTTTTTTTCTCATTTCAACACAAGTACATATTGATGACAGACGGAAGGCCTTCTTGAATATATTATTTTTATTTTCTTATGAATGAACTTCGTTTGAGAGAAACATTGTGATCGCCCACCGAGTCTGACGTTTCAATCAGCAAAGCAACTCAGAGTAAAGTCATTGTTTACCACTCACATGTAGAAAGTGTGATTCAATTTGAGTGCAAATGTAGGGTTATTAGGAGATCCGTTTAAAGTCGTCATAGCGCGGAGTTACGAGTTGTGAATTTGACTTCTTCATTTGACTTTTTGAAGTTTCATTTTGTATGGAATTAGTGATTATGGTTAAAGATTACATTTAGCGTTTCATTATCCTCGCACATTATTCTCGGCGCTCCAGAAATGTGTGTACGAAAATGGAGGTAACTAATTTTTGTTCGCCTACATTATATCAAGTTGTGTAAAGGGACTTCGTAATGGAACGAGAATAAGGAAAATCGGAATAAAATTATGGCCTTACTCTAACCTAGTACACACACAACGGGAGTACTTTATTCTCTGATCAGGATATTAGAGTAATAGACAGACAGGTTGGCAGACTCTCCACTCATATTCTTCTCGTCCATCGTTTCGGAATACAAAGGGCAAGATGCTTTTATCACTACGATACTTCACGCTATTTTTTAGTTTACCATCCTGAATTTTCACGGTGTGGACTACTTAATCACAAATAGCGCATTTTTTTTAAATGTTTGCAATATTACCCCTTGCTGTACAAAATGGCGTCTACCGGCAAGCCTACATTACGACCCACTTTAACCGGAACTAATTTTGCGGGACCGGTACCGCAGTTTCATCCTCGTTTCACGTATGACAACGCTAAGAAAGACTCCCAATGCAATGAAAATATAGTATTATTAACAAGTGGTTGCACGTAGTTATTTGAAATTTTTGATGCAACCAGTGGGGGGGCTTTATGAATTATATAGTGTTTTTTTAGGTGTAAGTTCATAAAGTTACAAATACACACTGCAAGACGATTTACTACAAGAACTCGTGAATCACGGCGGTATGGTCGACGATAAAGGAAACTGTACATTCGCAAACCACAATCGTTAGCCATTTCAACGAGTATGCGCTACAACTGAGGTGGGTTGAGGGTTAATATTAACCATAAAAGGGTTAATCTCTTCAACTTGAACGTGGCAGTAAAGGAAGAGCTGTTCTTCCGCGACGCATACCATCACGTGTATATCGGTCTTCGCGTCAGAAACTAGACAAATTGGGTGTGCCCTCGTGCGCACGGAGTCTACGGCAAAGACTCCTTTGTTTGTTTTTAACACATGCGCATGTATTGCTCTCCGTTTCTTTGTTTCTTAAATTTAAAGAAGATTTATTGCCGTCGGCGACAGACGAACTTCGCTATGACAATAAGAGCGTACAATTTGAGTATTATACGGTTTTCTTGGGTTAACAGATATTACCATAATTCACACTCTTGCATTTTTAAAAAACAACATTTTTGATATTCTCCGTACTATATACGTGCTTGGATATATTTAAATATTTAACAACTTTCACTTATCGCAGATATCATATCATTTGAAGTGTAGGTGAATGTACTATTTTTTTATTGCAGTTTTAACACCACCGGGACATGTAATAGTCTCGACATGGCGTGCGTTAGAGCTTTAATGGAACTATATGAAAAATTGAAAATAAATGAAACTCCATTTTTTTTCAAATAATTACAAAATGAAACTGGAATTTCGATGGATCTAATAAATTAAGCACTATATACCCAAACAGATAAAGCATTAATTGGGAACTGGATGAAAGGTGCCACGCGTTCACTAAACATAAAAATGTCAAAATTTATGTGCACTCTTTAAAAAGGCGATCGCGTCAAGAAACTACAATAAAACTAGATACGTTTGGGTGTATTACGGGCAACGAAGGCCAAATAATATACTATGACGCTACCCAAACCTTTTATCACTATTATAAACACAGCCCTATGACCTTTTACAAACTTTGGCGACCTGCAAACATTTTTCTTACGTAAGGGTTACAACTGCCAAGTGATAAAACATTGGCTAACGAAATAGTCGTCGATCAAATATGTGGTGGATACGTATACATTATTAAAATTGCTTAAATTATCTTCAAACTTAGGATATTTTACTACTGAAAAAGTGTAGCAGTTCATTTGTGCGGATACTAGATTCGAACTATTGCTCACGAATCTACCTTATACACAAAACATCATGATCGACCCATTCAATATTATCGGTTATCCTCCGGACAAACACGCTGAACATGATCAAGTAGCCTTATCTATTTTGCTTCCTATTTGACACCAATGAACGCTGATACGCTTGCGTTTCGTCGCCGCGAAGAACTATACATGCAATGTAAGAGTTGTGCAAATATTTGATTCGATTTGTAACAATACCCTAGTATACTGAATATAAAAGCTAAAGGTTCATATCATAGAAATTGTATTTTTGAGCAATATAGTCTTAATTGGATACGCCTGTAGTATGTGTACCAGGTTAGGGTTAGGCCATAATTTTCTCTGATTTTCCTTATTTTAGTTCTATTACGAGTTGGGGGACTGTATGTGTTAGACAAATGAATATACCCCCTGCCCATAGGTTTTAGTCCATTTATACAACTTGATGTAAAGTAGGCGAACAAAATTAGTTACCTTCATATTGGTACATGGATTTCTGAAGCGCCCCTAATTGTAGTCTCACTTTATCAAAACAGATTGCCCAGACATAGAGTAAAATTTAAAATCGTGTTTCGATGATCCACGGATTTTTTATATTAATATTAAATACGGACAGTCTTAAACAATGTAGCTGTCGGTTAGATGAGGAAGATCCCATTATCAGAAGCAATGTTTAGCGATACATCGCATTCAATAAATCGCCCCAGTAAAACCAAAGTAATCACAGTTTTCAAAAATGTATCTTCTGCCATTGTGGACTCGGGATTTTTTCAAAAATAGTTGTTTTAAAACAATTGTTTCAAGTCACGCTTCTTTTTTTGCCTGTTTTGTTTAAAATGGCTCTATTATTTGATTTTTGTTGTTGTATTGAATTGGTTTAAACTGAAACAAAAAAATGGATGTAAAAACTTTTCTTATTTGCAATAAACCCTTCGAAACGCCACAAATATCGATGACTACACGTCGTCTCAATCTGTAATGCAAAGCTTCCGCAAACGTGGTCGGCGGAGAAAGACGCAACCGATAAGCCATTACGTGAACCACCCTGCAACGGCTAGGAGTTCAGCAATCCTCTTGCACATTGTCAGCGGATATACCATTAGAAAGGTAGGCTGAAGCCTCAAATCTCGAGGGCCTCAACTATCAACTTTGAACTATTATTCATATTATATCGTTTTCAAAATGTAAAGTCTTGTTCCAGTATACTGTCAGTTTAAATTTTTATGGATCTCATTTTTTTTATTTAGAATAACAATTCTTGTTCCAAATATTTACCATTTAGAAGATTGGAAATGAAGTATGTCTGAATAAATGAAATTGTTTACATTAGGTTTGGTTGTGACGTCATTGTTACTGTGGGGCGTCACAATTAGCATAGCTTAGGCCCCTAGGGTGTCTCATCGTTTATATCCGACCCTGCGTAGGTTACTGTCGATCTAAGTAAATTCTCCAGTATTGTATTAACGCACTCGTTTTGCCGAATTTATGCGCCAACTACTTTTGGATTGTAGTAGGCCCGTGTGCTATATTTCATGATTTTTCTTGCCTTTTTTACTCAAGCGTACCCTGATATGCCACATAAACATTTCTGTTAAAATCTTACAACTTCGGTGTAGGTACTAATTTGGCGATAAAGTTACGCGACGAAAGTGAAAATCATTTCTTACAGTTTTGAAATTATTATTCCGACAGCGCGTGCGGCTGCCAGAACGCAACATTTTGTAGTTTTACGGCGATGCAAGGGGTATTTCAATAAAAATTGATTTAAAACGCGCGCCGCTGCTTGTTAGAATTGAAAAAAAAAAAAAACCTATGTGGGACCAGGGGCCATTTTTGACTGGGTTCCAGAGCTGTACCTTTATGTACTGCCTTATTGCCGTTTTTAGGTTTGTTTGTGCATATCTATAATTCACAAATTTGCATTTTTTACAAAACCTTGATATGTGACATGAGCTAATTTGGTTGTATTGCGGCAATATGGCGCCGAATGATCAAAATAATCGTAATTGAATTCGATTGGATAAAATATTATTAAACAGAGCACAGTTAGCAATTATGGGGGCTACTTTTATACGGAGTGAACCCCTCTAGGCTTGTGTAAGAAGTATGATACAATATAGTTAGTGTAAATGATAGCCGAATTCTTCCAGAAGGTCCTTCGACTCTTTGACTCAAAAGATCTTGTACTTGTCTCAGAATAGAGAGAGAGAGAGAGAGATTCATTGTTTTGTCAAGCAGAAAACAAGCAATGGTACAAAATACGGTGCTCCCGAAGTATTTGTACCAAAATGGCGCACAACCTGAACATAGTATGTGTACCAGGTTAGGGTTGTTCAGGTTGTGCGTCATCTTTGTCCGGAGCGCTCAGAATACAATATATACATAACATACAAGTTAATTCGGTATATACTGGGGAAGAGATACGACCATGAGGTAATCAGAGTCGGCTGCCCCTTCACAGTTTGCTGAGTCTTATCCACAAAAAATTATAAAGTTTTATATTTCTTTTCAGACCCATCAAGAATGGTCGGACATTCTCCAGGCGGTTGGGCGGCATATCCAAATGCAACAAGGTTTTCACCGTATCTGGCATCACCACATGCTACGGCAGCGGCGATTCGGGCACAAGCTGCAAGTGTTACGTCTTCCGGAATGGGCGGAGCTACAAGCACCGGAGCCGGCACTACAACCCCACCTGGCGGATTAAACATGGTAAAGGTAATATGTATGGTTGTTCGTATGAGACGCATGTCACACACAAAAAACACAAAGAATCAACATAACTTGGGGTTAAAATCAGATATTGTTCTGGTGTATGATGGTAGTAACGTTCTAAAATATTCAAACAGTGAAAATTGAAGACAGATATAAAACAAAAAACCTTACACGACCAAATATGACGTCATTTCTTGATTACGTAAATTTACGTGTAAATTTTGTATAATACAGAGACAAGACTCTGGTCGCGGCGTAACACATAGCCTATCATCCAATGGGTCACTAGGCGGTGCCCGTCATGGAAACGATTCATTGACTATAAGATTTTCGGAGGTTAGTCAAATATTTTGTTACGCCGTGTACCCGAGTCTTTTTTCTAAATCAATGTAATGTAAATTGTCTCGTAATCATCAGTATATTTAATATATACATCTCATTTCATAGAAATTATCCATCAAATATATTTTTCAGTAATACATTGACATTGCATCAGTTGTGGGATTCGGGGGGTTTGCACGATCTTCGGAATGTTGTTAAAACATTATTCGGGCCATGTTTACAACACGACGTTGAGAATTTCTAGTTGGCGTGGCACAACCATGTTATTCCTAACTCCCACCTGACTACGTCATTGAAAAATTACGTCACTTGTCGTCACAGTAACGTCATAAGGCCCACCAAACTATGCTCTGAATCTGAAACTAACTGTCATCCAAAACGCGCAGACGATCATCCGAAATGGAGTAATATAATTCCTCCCGTTTTTTCGTCGTAACGATCCCGACCGATATAAGAGAGATCTTTGACGTTAGTGAGTTATCGTTGGCGAAGATGTCATTTTAGGTGATCGTACCTCTACTTTGGCAAGCTCTTTAACGTAATTGTGAGGTCGTAGTGACGTGATCTTTGGATGACGTAGCCAGGTGGGTTAGGAATAACATATGCAAAAATGGTTGTGCGACGCCAAATAGAAGTACTTACGTCGTTTAGTGAACATGCGCCTGTTATTCTATATTTCTTATTAATTTGCGAGCCCGTGATGTAATAAACTGAATTCCGTTTTATTTTCTTAGGTGCATTTAGAGGGCAGGTTCGGAAACGCACCTTTTGGCGATCACAGGCTAGTTTATCCTGGTACTGGTGGATTTTCGGGGTACGATGGAATGTTGCAAACGGGGAATCCCCTAGCTTCGGCCCCCTACTTATCGGGAGTATCTGGATACATGAATCCACCGTCGTATAATACTGGAAATGCAGGTGTGAGCTTGATGTCGTTTGAAAATAATATTTTTGATAGAAGAGATAGTGTATTTATCAAGGAAACGATGTTAATAGTTTTAAAGAAGTTTCATTTTTATTCTGTCTGTGGTTTGAGCACCAGACACGTTAAATGATGATAGTGATTAGTTTTATGAAATTTAAGCAACTTTAAAATATAAAACAGTATTCTAGGAGCTGAGAGAGAGCTATGGAATGAATTCGATGCTAATCCTTTATAAAAGATATTGTATTGACTTTATAACCAGCGCGGTAATAATAGATGAAATCGTAGCTGTCTAATTTAGAATTTCTGCTTCTGAACATTTTTAATCAAAAGAAAGGCACTTCATTAAAATAAGCATACTAGATGTTTTCAACTCGTTTTGTTTAATTCAGGCGCGGGGAACAGCAGTGGTGGATCAAGCGATACGCATTCACCCCCAAACAATATGGGAAGGACAAGAGCGGGGGCGTCGTCAGTAGGTAGTGAAACCGATATATCGGGAACGCTCTCTCCAGGAGGGCGCGACCTACAAAATCATAGAACAAGATCCCATGACAATTCGGTCGATTTGCTCGTGGCAGCCGGCATCCATGGGCGCAACTGGGATGTGAAGGAGGCTGCAGCAATGATAGCCGCTGCTGAAAACGCTGCTCGTCAAAGGGATGCTCATGGTGTACAACAACACGGCTCTCGTGGAGGTGTAAACCACAACGATGTTCTCGCGGATGAAGTCTGGCGCCCTTACTAGGGGAGAATACTACGAAGACATTAACGCTAGATGGCGCTCGAGTACCACCTGCTTCCAGCTGATGCCTAAACAGCCATGTGACAACTCCTAGCTGCAAGCCCGGACTGACAATGGTCACTGAAATAATTGCAAAGAGTTGCTAAGCAACTATAAAACTAACTTCGGAAAATTTAAAACAAGTTAAAATACTTAAAAAATATTAAAAAGGATACTACTAATTTGCCAATATTAAAGTTCAAAAATTATCATAATGTGCAATCGCCAAAATGAATGCTGAAAGCCAACCCGCTGATAAAAATACAAAACCTATAAAATTTATATTTATGCTATCTTACCGTGAAACGAGTCCTAAAAAAGTTCCATATTCTCCGGAAAATTCTCACTTACCGTTTCCATTATCATACCGTCGCTACTTAGTATACTATAACACAGCATTTTTATTATTCGCACATATTACTGCAGGAGATAATTACAATATTGCCGCAATACCTAGATGCATTTGACTTTTTGTGATGTCATCAATATATGACGTCAAGTATATTCCACAATGATATACATGCGATTTCAAAGCCCATTGATGACGCCACAATAAAATCATTCTTCGAATGGATTCCAGTTGTTTACGTCAGAATGGAAGCTTCGAACGTTCATAATTCAAATTGTGTTTAGCATTATTAACGTCATAAGCAAAAATGCTGACGTCAAATGTGTGATATCTAGCAATGCATTTTAAAATTTTATGAAAAAGGTGCCATTTTTTGAAAAAAAAAAAATTTGCTCGTATTATTCTATTAGAATATTTCGCTTATGCTTTGGGCTTTTTACTTTTAATGTTAGCAGATTTTTATTTTATTTTTTTCAGTGCTTATTTCTTTTTTGAAAAGACGCTAGTAATTTTACAAATGTGAAGAAAGTTCGATCTATTCCATATTAACAAAAAAGTGTTTCACGGCGAATGCCAGAAAGCATTTTATGCTCTATATAACACTATAGATATTGAATTTGGATAACGAAGTATCTCGCTAGTGCCAGTGATGCAGTGAGTAGTAGTAGTTGCATGCGAATCCGGGTCATTCAAAAACCTACTCCGGTCTTGACTCCAGGTGCAACAAATCGTTTTCAGAAACCGGAATTATAGAATGGCCCTGAAATACTTCAGTTTGTAATGTTTAGTTTGGAAATTTTGATTTGAACACCAGAAAACATAAATTTGAAATGGCATCGCAGTTTCGAATCCTTGTTCAAAAATTCTAACTCCGACGATGGGATAACAAAATTTTGCCGTTTTGCAATGTCTCAAGATTAGAACTGTGATTCTAACTACCTATTCCATGAAATTTGAAAAACATTTTCTGAATATGATGCCAAAGGAATCGTAATCCACATTTCTGATACCAGTGTATGCGCTCTCATTTATTCACAAATCTTTAACCATATTCACTTGAAATCCCAACTAATAAAGTAATTTGATCCATTGAATAGTGGCATCATTTTCGGCATTAAAATAATATTGCATGCTATTTTCAGAAAATGTTTCAAATATTAAAAAATAAACTTCGGACCCAACACTATGGCAAATTCAATAGGCCCACAACAAACGCTAGGGGTCATAAGAGTGCCGCCTTATATATATTACAAATTGTATTACTAGGTCTATTTTTTTCTTTTTTGATGCAGCGATCTTTAAACGCATATTTTTATTTCATTCTAATTGTTTTATTCCATGTCATTGCATACAATCGGTGTTTTTTTTTTATATGAAAAAAACATCATTTTTGACAATTTTTCATTAAACGTGTGTTCCAATATCGCGCGCAAAGAACTATTGTCATTACAATGATATATTTTTAGACCTGGCAAATCCTACGGTGCTATCTCTTTTTCCTAAAATCGCTTTTTGCTATACTTCTATGACATACACTAGGATGGAAAACATATGATGATATTCATCACTCCTCAGCTCTTGGAATGAACACTTAAATATGGAATGTCCATTAAAAATTGTTCAAATTGCAAAGGTTATTTATCTATACCATAAAAAAAAACGGATTAAAAAACAACAAACCTGGTTAAGATATATTGAGAACTGACTTCATAACAAAATTGAAATTGTGGATGATCTTTATTTCCATGTATAGCCCAACTTTAGTTGTGCTGTCTATTTCATAGCCAAAAAGCGCTCTTTTGTCAAAACTGTGTTATTTTAAGATATAAAGCATGAATGAAACTATGACTTCATCAGCTTCATTCTGTATCAGATTTAGCAAAAGTGTGTTTGACATATCTGATTGAGTATACTGGTTTAAACGAAAATCCATACCCCTGTCTTAATATGTGCAAGATCGTGCAAATGATCGTTTTAAAAATAACCAATCTTCTGATATATAGTGATCTGTTGGATTTGTTTCCCTCCGATCACTTATTTCTTAATTGATTCTGAAAATCCAGAACGGTACATATGTCAGTGTTGAATCATAATTTTATTTATATAACATTTGTGACATCATAGATTGACGCTGAAACATAATTTTCTGATCCAGACAATTTGCATTTTCAAAGGATTCACCGAGAAATAAAACCGTCACATATTCACATCTGCGATCATTAAAAAAAACAGTGCACGTTACTAAGATATAGTAGTATACGTATTTAAACAAATGATGTCACAATTTGGTGACGTCATTTCAGAATAGATCACATACGCGCAAAAACAAATATTTTCAGATTTCAGAATAAGTTTCCGTAGAATACTAGCTTTTGCCTTTGCTTAGTTTTGTTGGCTCGTTTCAATCAAACAATAGTAGTATAATTCGAGTACAATTTACACAATTTTTTTAGTGTATATGTTTGGCTTTTATTTTAATGATAAAGTGTTGTTCTGTCAGACTGTTATATTTATGCAGAATTCGCGATATTCATTTTCAAATTGTGTGTTGCTGTCAAATCTGGTCAGTGCGTCGCGCATGGCTTATCATAATGCAAATAAATATATTCTTTAGCAATATCTTTGCATCGTGTTAGCGTGCGTTACGATTGATCAATATTTCATTGAATCTTTTGTATAAATGTTATGTTTAAAAGCGAATAAAACGCGTTGCAATTTTATAAAATGTGTATTTGTCTACCTATAGGCCGATTGATTACAGTCCCACCTAAACTTCTACTAAGAATCTGTTTTGACTCACAAGTGCATTTGCCAAATTAATTGTATTTGCACATGTAACCCTCTATAACAGGGGTGGGCAAGGTGTTTGGAACAGGGGCCAAAAATATTGCCCATTTAAACTGGCTCACTGGCGGGCCATGTGAGTGTGACGTAATAATTTAGCTATCAATCTATCAGGTAGGGTTCAAAAACTAGGTGCAGCAACAGACCATTAGACACCATCCGGGAACGATAGACTAATTTACATCACAAGAATGCGTAAACAATGAACAAAAAAGAACTTAAGAGAGCGTTATGGAGACGTTAAAAAACGGGCCAAAGTAAATCACCCAACGGGTCGTACTTTGCCCATGTCATCTCTATAATCTATTTACTTGACAGTTTGGTTCTCAATGGCGTAAAGCCACATCTACAGCTTTTTATATGGAGAATGAGGTTTGCGAAATGCAGTATACAAATCTTGTAAAAATTCACAACGTGAAAACAATTAATGTCGATTAATTACTTAGGCATATTCGACAAAAGATATAACCTACTTTAAAGAAAAACAAAATGAACTTACTTTATCGTATGGTCGCGTCCTACCAATGCACAAGGTACGACGGTACATCAAGGTGTCTTTCGTCGATAGGTAATGGTACAGGCAGTTCCAGTTAGGATAACAAAAACATGGAATTACTAGAACAAAAATGTGCTGAATTGGTAACACGTTACGAACTATAAGATAAACCAAATTTCGATCAGTCAATTTCAGGGGATATTAAATTCCTCGTTTTGAGACAAAACAAACTTTACCTTATCCTAATGGTAATGTAATGGATGTGCCCCCGATCTTGGACCCCAAAAGAATTCTTCTTATACTTAACCATTGAAAAATTGTTGATGCTTATTTTGAGGATGATTACAAACTGGTCTACATGTTTAATTAAAACCACCATTTTTATTAAAAATATTTACCCAAGTGCCATCACAGATGTTGATATCTTGTTTAAGCCTAGTCTATCGCAGCGTTTTCCGGACTAATGTCGTAGTATTGCAACTAAACCAAAGCTCCTCAGAAGCCATAATGACTAACTGAGTTATTCGATATATAAAAAAACACAACTGAAAACTGACAAATAACACGTAAAACCACGAAATCGAGGCCATGTTTACGACCCTGCTTAAATATCTGTCTGAGCGAAAGATGTCTTAGTTAGAGGCTCCATGAACTGCAATCGTTACGTGTTTGTTCTCTTATTGGTCTTCGTTACGGCAATAAACAAGGATATCGATGCTCGGGAAAACATCCATCGCTATCAAATTTGTACAGTATTCACAAATCAGAATCTCAAAACGCTTAAAGCCACCAGCAACTCGACCCAACTCGATTAAGATAAGCTAAATTTTTTATAATGAAAAAACAACAACAAATAAGTAACGCGTCTACTTTACCAACGGCGATTAGAGTTTCTTGAGCTGCTAAATTGAACGTCTAACTGGGGATAAATTCCTACTGATAAGGAAATTTTGTCTTTCTCAAGGCGGTACCTTTCTTAGTACTCACTGTCGTGCAACTAGTAATATTCTTTATTATTATTAGCGGTACTATAATGCTAATTTGAGCACAAATTAACTACTTAAACTCTACAATAACGTGAGTACTACCCGCGCATAATACTACCGTGTTTCCCCGCAAATAAAAGTGGGTCTTATTTCAGTTTTCTTCCGAAAAATAACACTAGGGATAATTTTCGGGGGATGTCTTATATTTTGATTTATCAAAAACAAAATTACAAAGTAGAGAATTACGAGATTTTAAATATACAAAATATGAAAACCGATATCCATTTACATACAAACAACACGTTTTTATTCAAAATAACTGCAAAACATAGATCAATATTCATTTAAAATGTGTAGGAGAGATTTCTTGTTATCGACTAGGTCAAAAAAAAATTTCGCGTTCTTGACTAGGTCTTATTTTAAGGGGAGGGCTTATATTAAAATAACTTTTAAAAATCAGACTAGGTCTTATTTTTAGAGTAGGCTCTTATTTTCGGGGAAACACGGTAGCTAAGAATCAAAATATTTAGTTTTTTTGCATATTGATGGAGGAATAAAGAGTTCCAATAGAGGTAGGCTTACCATATAAGGGCTATTCCAAGAGACTCTACAGGACAATTCCAGAAATTTTGCATGTTGTTAGATGCAATATATTTTTACATGTTTTTTGCCCCATGTTTCGTTTCATTGTCTAATCAGTTGCTTTATGGGGTTTGAACAAAATTGCACAAAAGTTACACACAAGACATAATAAGTGGATATAAAATATGTCCTAATATATATAGCGTGACTCTACAGCACAGCAAATCCACCATGCAGTAACATTTCATTGTGTTGTGAATATTTGTGCTGGTACGGGAGACCTCAATTATTTTTGGTGAAGTAACTGAAGAACCCCCATGGCATATGTGCCACTCAAGTTACGCAATGTAACACTGTAGATCCATGACGATAATGTGGACATTGCACGTGACTCTACAGGACGTGACACTACTGGACATTTTTCCACTTCTGAACAGCGGCCTCTCTTAAAATCTAACAATATCTATCATCTCTTAAAAAATTCTAACAATAAATCGTTGAATAGGTACAGGCATGTCCTACAGTATTGCAAACACCTAATCTTCATTAACTTAAATTCAGCTCATCTTTTTTAAATGAATTAACTGTACCAAACAATTAAACACTTTTGGTTACGAATTTACGATTCATCACAAAAAATGTCAATTAATCAAAATTTCTACATTTTAGGCCATTTTGTGTAAACCATCAAAAACCTGGGTGAAATTTTAACTTTTTCATGAAATTAATGCAGTTCAATCAAATTAAGCGTCTTTTAATATAAAAAAAATACAAAAAATTACTTTTACTGCACTTTTTAAAAATTGATGAAATCCAACTTTTGCTTAGAATGGCCCATATATATATGACAAAAAAACGGGACATTGGGCAAGCCTTGGTTCGATTCCGAGGCTTAGTAATACTTTAGTTCATATGAATATTAGTAACATTCAAATCATTGGATAACGGGAATATTTTTTTGAGCGTTTAGAATAATTCAAGTAACGTATAGGTTAAATTGACCTATTAAAAATGACATATAATAAAGTAGTTCTCTTTCACTCTGGAATGAGTGACAAATCAACGATAAATGATTTGCCTACGTTGATTAATAAAACAATTTTGTATTAGTATTAATTATAAAAATATCGCTATGACTGTCATACGGTACGATCGGGACATTTAAGACTACCGGGCGGGACAGCTTGTCAAAATCGGGACTTACCCGGCTAAACCGGGACGTATGGTAAGCCAAAAAATAGGTGAAATGCGGAATTTAACAAAAAAGGTTTGAAACCATGCTAGACCAATTCACACCACCTCTATGGTTGGTCCAGCGTAGGCTGGTTTTCGCGAGATGTTGTAAAGTATTTTCAAAAAGAGATCAGTTCAGAGTGCATGTTCTGCTACTACCATACCAACATGCAGTACCATAAGTCTCTATCCACATCAATATTAAGTGCGGCACGTAGTCTACTAAGCCAATAACTTCGACGAGCTATTCATAATTTCATGTGCAGGACACTAACAATGCTGAGCCAGGTAAACTGCTTATGAAAGAACGATGCCGCAATTATGAGAATACAGTTTAATATGATACAGTTTTTACCTTTACGGTAACGAAGTAACTGTATGTATACCGTACCTGCAATTCCGTAGTATCACCATACACCAGTGCCCTGGGTTTGTATTCAGATGCCGGTAGCGCCGTTGATATGTTAATCGACCATTAACATCACTATACTATCAGGATCACATGCTCATATGCCACTACCTTCACAGTGTTACACGTCCCAATTATGAACGGTACTGGTGCTCCCAACCGCAGCATGAATAAACCTCGATACAGCGTTGCCAGATCCCAGTTATCAAAAAAAGTCAGATCAAGACACAGAAAAGTCAACAATTATACTAAGTACAAATGCTCCATGATTCATTCAACAGAGGAGAAACTTTTGGCACAATAGTGAATTTGCACAGTTTGCAATGTGCTGACACAAATACCTTTTTCCATTGCTATCATATGATGATTTCCACTTAGGCATGATGATAGGTTGAAACTTGAACGTTTTATATTTAAAATAACAGCTAAACATGGATTATTAATCATTTAAAACGTTTAGAAGAAATTTCTTGCTATCAAATATGTTAAAAAAAATGTCGCGCTATCGACTAAGTCTTATTTTGAGGGGAGGGATTTTAAAATCATTTTTAAAATTCAGGCTAGGTCTGATTTTCGTGGAAGCACGGTAGGAAGTATTTATTGAATGACTGAACCAGAATGTACACCCGACTTTATACAGTCAAGCTGTCGTCCATATCAAGTTGAAAAAAATCGAAAGACCGCATAAAAAAATATTAAGAGGACAGCGATATTTAACAATTCAATATACAGTATACCAGTGGTCGGCAACTTTTTTCAAGTAACGTGCCAGCAAAGCCTGACCAAAATTTTTGCGGACCACCTTTATACAAACGGACTAAGCCTATGCAATAAATTATACGCATTGGAAAATTTATGTTTACAATATACTAATAAACGAAAGTGATGCTGTTTAATGCAATATCTGTATTTGTTTGCTGGCCATTAACTGTTCCCATATTGGAGATATGGTCGACATTTCTTACATCCAGACTACTTCGATATTTCGTTTTTGTAGTTATCAATATTGAAAACGAGGTCTCACATTAATAGGATTTTGGGAAACGTAACAATGCCTGTAAACCTTCCGACTCTGATCTGGGTATTGCTTGATGTTTGTTTTGCCCAGACTATATTTTTAACTCGATGTGCTAACTTTATGATTATCCGGATTTTGAAGTATAGAATTAGCCGTTTTTGTGTCACCTCTCTTCGGACCGGCAGTAACCTTTCCGCGATGGCGACGGGCCGCGGCCCGGTGGTTGCCGATCACTGCAGTATACGATATTTATAGAGTGTCGCTGCAGTATGTAATCTACCTATATGTTTCTACTTAAAATTGCGATATACCTTAAAAAATTATCTTTTTTCAAATAAACAGCAAATTTGCGCTGAATTAAAAAAAAACAATTTTCCGTATGGTGGCAAAATAAATTACTGATTGATGTAGCTACAGTCGATTAGTCATTATAATGTGCTAATAATAACGGACGTTCGATAATATTTAGTAATTTACGTGTCAACAGAATTCGAAACTTTTGAGAGCAATCGCGTCCAGTTTCCAACAATTCTCCAACTTTCTTACCCAACACTTTGCCAGTACGAAACTGCAAGGCACGCACAACGATGGAAAACTAGTCCATATTATTCAGATGCCCTTCTTCCATTTTTCATAACCCGTAGATTCTTCGATAACGGCTGAAGCACTGAAATGAATTTTGTAAACGCCATAAATATTAATTTATATATATATTCCACTCTGGGGAGACTATGAATGGCCTCCTTGCGCAGTGCAACCAAAAGCCTAAATGCAATCAGCGAACAGTCCAGATATGTCTCAATCCTAAATCTTTGCTTCCGTTAATATTTATTGCTCCATATCAGCGGGTTCGCAACTTCATTTCAGAAGGTTTCCGGGCAAATTTACTGTCACGTAGCCACTTTAATCATATGCCGTGCCACGACCTCTCGTCCCGTTACCGGCGCATGCCGGGTACCGGATTAGTTGGGCAGGTATTTATTTCAGATGCGTGGACTTGACGGCGGAGGAAGGCCGCTCAGGGGTTACGTAAACCACTTTACCGCGGTGAGGAGTACTGCTTTACATCTGGCACATAATTATCCCCACGAGGTTCGAACCTGCCGACACAAGGCAGGGTTATCAGAAGAGGTTCGATTTCTTGCTTTCTCACGCTTAGCACGATGCGCCGGCTGCCGCGACCAATAGCGGCCCACAGAGAAAAATTTTGCGGCCCGCGGGGAAGACAAATTTTGAATGGTGCTAGGCCAGAGATTCGAGTTTTTACTTTAGTTCTATCTTGTACGTGCGAGTAAGGTAGATCCCTTTGCGTTGCGAAGGGTATACCCAAGCTTTTGCAAAGTTATCAACGCACGTCACGAGATCAATAACCAAAACTGGTGTGCCTGCCACCGCAAGCAAGCCTAGGCGGTTCGGCCTTCGGTTTTACTCAGCTATTCTTTTACGACCCTCCTTTATTTAAAGGTTACACACCCCTGTGATAGACGATGGAAAGTTGATTTAAAGAAAAATGCCCAATATACCTAAATCATTGAACCTTTCTGTATATTTATATCATAAGACAAAGAGTGTTGGAGTTTGGAATCAGTTAAAATTACGTTTTCCCATTAACCAAGAAAAAATACAGAAATAAAATTACATAATTGATATAATTTAATCTACAGTGGTGAGACTTTGAATTTCACTGTGATAATTGGACGAATAGACAAGATCACAGGGCTATTGATATAATGAGAATGAAAACCTGAATGAGGAAACAAGTCGAAAAAATCACCAGATGAGAATAATTAATTCACATTAAATTAGCATCACATTTACAATCACTATATCTTCATGTTGATCATATCTAAAACGATCCAAATATGAAGATCATTGTTTTTCAGTCTTGTTCATTACCAGTTGAGATATTGTATGCTTGTTTCCAGCTCACAATACTTAATTTCGAATAAAAAATGTTCTATATTATTCCCGAATTCGAATACTCACTATTTCTAATATAATATATTTAGATTGGATTTTGGCAATCCCTGCTTTCTACCAAAAAAACCAAGTGACTCAACATGGCCTAATAAAATCATATGCTTTGCCACGCTGGGTTTACGCCATATTATGCAGACAATTACAAGTCCCTCCCTTATTACTTGTACTTATTACTTAATTATGACCAAAAAAAATGATGAAGTGATTGCAATGCAATTCTTGCTACAGTTATAACAAAGTTGAAAATATTGGAAACAAATCTGTCCGATTTGATTTGAGGGCTTCAACACAAAGAGGCGAATTCTGATAACGCAGTTCTGAGAAAATGGAAAAAACATAATTTCCAATTTTTAAACTAAATTTAAAACTTTTTTTAAACACCAGCTCAAAGATCACCTATTCCATTATAATATTTTTAAACAATTTTTTCGAAATGTTCACATTCACCCCTTTGTTTTGAAATCCTCTTATATAGAACACACCAATTCATAAAAAGGTTAACAATGACAAGATAGAGAAAATAATACATAAAAAAAGATTATGTTATCATCGGGAAACATTATCATGAAAAATCAATATAAAAACAATTATTATGAAATTAATTCCAATTCAATTTAGCCCAAAGAAAATATGAGACAATTCTAATCCAGTCACCCAAGCCTAGCTAATTAACAAGTTTATAAATGATAAAAACAGTAAATGAAGTCACTAAAAAATCTGTATTGGGCACAAAAAGAGATCAATCTTCACTTTTTTTCATCATTTTGTTATTTTTACACAATTCCGAACTGGCCGAGAGTTATGTAGCCAACCATGAAAAGCAGGAGGAGAACGGCAAGCTCTCCCCAGGTACCCCAGTTTCTCTTTGCAGGGTCACCAGTGTAGTAACCCCAAGCATACAGGAAACGGGAAGTGACAAAAAGCGCTCCAAGTATTGAAGCATAAACCTGAATAAATAGAAAACAATATAATAACTTGAACTTGAAATATAGAGTTGAATTTTACTAATTTTGAAAATCTATCACAACTCACTATGCTGATTACCATGAAATAAGGCAGTGGTTCTCAAACTCTGGGACGTGTGTGTAGGGTGTTAGCCAATTTTTGAGGGGGCGTGAAGCTAACTTAAAAGCGCTGAGAGAATCGAAGCATAAACCTGAATAAATTAAAAACAATCTATAATTTGGATTTGAAGCATAAAGTTGAATCTTGCTAGGATAATCCATCACAAGTCACTATACTGATTACCATCAATTAAGGCAGTGGTTCTCAAACGGTCAATAATTTTTTTAGAAGCTTATTTAAAATAAAGATATTTGTTAGGTTTGATCTTGCCCGTCGTATTTTGGATACTTAACATTTCATTATTTTGGATCTTTATGTTCTATCCACGTATTTTTAATGTGTTTTTTGAATAAAACAAACTTTCGTCTTACTATCTGTTATTTGTAGCCTATTGTTAGCTAGTTATTTTTGGGGTGGGCATGAGACTTGACAAATTTTAAAAAAGGGGGAGCGGTGCAAAAAGTTTGAAAACCACTAAATTAAGGAATGAGCTAATTTCATCTTTGTGTGGTCTATAACAGGGCTACTCAACTATATTTACCAAAGATCCGCATACAAAACTTCAAAAATATTTGGGTCCGGTCTTTCCAGAAATTATATTACGGTATCCTTGAACACGCACTTCCTCGGCTGACTAGTGATTATTAGCTCATCAAGATTGTTTATTATGGCGTTATAGTTCTTTTCATATATATTTAAATCTTTAAAAGTGATTTTATAAAAGGAAACTTCAAAAGTGGGGCTAATGGTCCAAAATAAAGAATAAGGCGCGGTCCGAATCGAATACCCGAAAGGTCCGGATTCGGACCGCGGTCCGCCAGTCGAGTAGTCCTGGTATGATAATAAATATTTATTTAGAAACAAAACTTCCCATGGTTTTAACATTAAAAAAATTATTCCATAATTTTGAACAATTCAGCTATAAACATTCCAGCTATACTTGATATTTCGACGCTTAGTGAAAGAATATCAAAGCACACTAATCCCCAAATTTGCAGTTACATACTGACCGGGTAAACAATCGCTGACGGCACAAAAAGAGAGTAAAATATTGGCAACCATTCCAATGTATTGTGATGAGCTCGTTGGTAACAATTGAAGAGATGATCAGTCTTTGAAGTCATTGCTGGATACTGTAAAGAGAAATTGAAAATAGTAAACCATGAAAGTGATACATTGATTTTACTGTTCATATTGCTAAACCTTTAAAATACACGCTCAAAATAACCACTGCATATTCATTTAGTATGTTACAAGGTTCCTCAACTGGTCAGCCACTCAAATTGAGGCATCACCAAATTGGCGAGAGCTATAATTAAATAGTCGAATTGGACTGCGACTGGTTGTAGTTTGCGATAATGATTAGATAGGATAAGATTTTGATATTTAATTTACTAATATTCAGATTATCATTACTATTAAGAAATTCAGAAGAGACCTAGTAACAGACAGACAGGAATAAGTTAACTGAATTGAACATGTCAGCCAGTGAAATTGGCTCAGCCCTTGACCCATCATGCTGATGGGATACCCTGGTTATGTCTGCGGGTTACAAGGTTTGAATCTCGAAGCCAAAATGATGTGCGAGAAAAGTGCTGGGCTCCTTGATATCGTAGGAAGCTTCACATAACCGCTGGTCGATTATGGCTTCCTCAACCATCAAGTCCATGCATCTGAAACACCTGGCCACCTATTCCTGTACACCACATGAAACAGTAACCGGACATGACTCGCCATATGGGCCATTTCAAGCAAAAGTTGAATTCCATCATTTTTTTAAAAGTGTAGTGAAAGTAATTTTTTTGTATTTTTTATTTCAAAAGACATTGGAATTTCATTGGACTGCATCCCTTCCACCGAAAAAGTTTAAATTTACCCAGGTTTTTGATGGTTTTTAAAAAATGGCCAAAAATGTAGAAATTTTGGTATAATTGACATATTTTGTGATGATTCGTGACACAAAGTGTTTGATTGTGTGATACAGTCATTTCATATGGAATTGACGCACTGAATTTAGGTTAATAAAGTTTAAATGTTTGCAGTGCAGTAGGACATTTCTTCACCCATTCAACGATTTATTACCAGAATTTTAAGAGATGATAGAGGCCGCTGTTCCTTAGTGGGAAAAGGTCCTGTAGTGTCACATACCATATGCACATTAATGACATGGATTTACAGTGTTACATTAGGTAACTTGAGCAACACATAGAAAGGTCCTTCAGCTACTGCACCAGAAAATATTATGGGCTCATGCGGTACCTTCGCCAAAATTTACGGCACAACACATTGTACTGTTAATGCATGGTGGATTTGCCGTCCTGTAGTGTCACGCTATATTTTTATTTTTTATATCCACTAAGTAAGTCTTGGGTGTAACTTTTGTGCAATTGTTTCCATATTCAATAAAACAACTGATTGGACAATGAAACAAAACATGTAGCTGAAAATGTAAAAATATATTGCATCTAACAACATGCAAAATTTCTGGAATTGTCCTGTAGTGTCAACTTGGAATAGCCCATATTATGATTATTAAGTCATCTCATCGACTTCTTCCCGGGATAAATATAAAAATCCTTTATTTTAAGTAGGCCTATAACACTAGTACGGCACACTTCACAGATCGAGAGACATTGTCTCGTTTCATCATTTTGCTGATGAACACACACCCCTTCTTTGGGAGACGTATGGACAATATTGTCCCTCAATATCGGTAAAAATACAGTATAACGAAGTTGTGCAAAGAGCTACAAAGCAGCGCAATCTAAAAGCGTCATCATTGAATTCCTCTGGAAAAAATATTTCCGATTTACCAAATGAGAAGAGTTTTTAGCAAACAACAGCAATTTTGGTCACATGACAGCCGTGATTAATTTAGATTATTAATGAGACAAGCATGGCGCGATATGATGAATCTTTCGTCGTACCAGGCGCCCCTCATTTGTGAGACACATGGAGTGTTTGTTTTATTGAACCAAATAGAGGGAACTTGGATAGTGTGCCGTCCTAAGTACGGCAAACTGACCTTTATATTTGCTTTCTTCCGGTATTTTCCAACTTGTAACATCAGATATACAAGCATTAGATTGGTGTAAATGACAACCAACATTGCATATCCATGTTCCGGCCTCAAGTAATCAGAAACTCCCATTTTGTGGTTAAGATTTTAACAGTCAGTCAGAAAATTGAAGAGTGAATATTTAATATTCTTAGTAGCTGGCATAGGTTATACAATTCACAACAAATTTATTTCGATTTTTCAACAGCCTGAAGCGAAAGCAAGCAGGCAAGTCTATTACCGTAGCAATTATAGAAAAATTTATCATCATATGTTTATATTCACTATCAATATTAACAAGAATCAAAACAATTGATGAAAAATAATTGATTACCGGTACTGGTTTACGAACTAAGAAGATATATTAAACATAAACCAATTCAAAGAATTCTGATGTAGCCTATATCTATTGCCTACACTGGTACCGGTACCGGTAAATTATTTCAGAGTTGTGTAGAATTGTTGAAGTCTGTTGATTTCAAATTCTGAGGTTACCGGTACCGTACGGTACGGTACCACTTTTCACGGTAAAATTTCACCCGGACTAGCAATAACTAAAGTAAGTGATTTATCCATTACTGCATCATCATTCCAGATCAGACATAGGTCTACGAGCAGACGCGTATACCGGCACAGGTATCAGAACGCAAAATGCCTATGCACATTTTCTAGAACTGCAGAAATCTCTTGTCGTGACTCAGCAAAATAGGTACATCGACCATCTTGCTGATTAACCAACGTTAGGAGGTAAACAAGAAAGTGGAAAAACCAAAATAAATAAAAAAAAGTCGATGCTCGGGGGAAACGGTGATTAATATTCCGCATTTTTTGCAATATACCGGTGGCCAATTTTATTCAAAAACATGAGCTGTGCAACTTGCCATCGAACACGGATGGACACGAAGCCGCTAAATCGCTGTTGTTAGTCTTGTTGTCGCCGAGGCGCCTTTTGTGGGGCGGACACGTACCACTTCTTTTGACTTCACTTTTTAATCTAAAATCTGTACGTTTTAAATATTAATTAGGGTTATGTTCGTTTGGCCGATCATTCTCGGGGTATTCCGTATATAATGGGCCAGTGGATTTTAAAATTTTGTTTTTCAAAGATGGAAGTAGTCGCCTATCACGTTTTTCAATTTTTTATTACGAGATTTGATATTTCATTCAAAATTCCGCTGTTTTATTTCAATTCAATAGGCAATGTTTTTTTTATCTCGACAACCGAGGTCCTTACGTCACAGATGTCTTTGACGTTGGCGTTTTGGAGAGGCAAGCCTTCTAGTATCCAAAAACCCTCCCCTCTTCTAACTGACTCCAGCTGTACAGTACCTATACATCACAAAACTCCTGGTCTTGAAGCATGTTTGGGCGCTCCAGAAGTATGCGCACCAAGATGGCGGACACCGGAACGTCGTATGCGTACCAGGTTAGAGTTAGGCCATGATTTTATTTCAATTTTTCTTATTTTAGTTCTATTATTTTAGTTCTATTATTCGCTATTTGATTAAGGTTTAGTGTAATTTAAAATAAAACTAATTTAACATGAATCCTCCAAGACCACCTCCGAGAGAAAAAACACCTTCCAAGATCAAAAAGGTGTTTATAAAGACAACAAAAGTACTACCAATGAGGAAAAACTACAAGCTGGAGAAACGGAAGCAATGGGACTACTCAACGTTTCAACCACGTCTGACCTGTCGCAGCACAGTGAGTTAGTTAGCGGAATCCTTCCTCTAATAACGAGGAACATAATAAATGACATAACCCTGCAACTCCCTGCCATGATAGGCCAGTGTCTTACTGACAACTACGACCTATCAGACAACTCAGACATTTTGATCCCGTTAACACCAAACATTGGGGAAATACTCAATGACTTAAATCAATCTATGCGAGATATTAGATCTGAATTGACTGAAATAAAAGAAAGTCAAGCGTTCCATACTAGATTGTATGATGATCTTGCGATAAAGCAAGCATCTGATAATAAGAAAACTATTGAAAGTCTCCTTGATCGAATACATGATCTAGAAGAAGATTTATTTTATGTATCCGAAAAAGTAGAAGACCAAGAAAGAAGAGGGCGGCTAGAGAACCTGGAGTTCCTTGGTGTCCCTATTTCTGAAAATGAGAACACTGACCAAATAGTCTGCAACATCGCAAAGATGGTTGGTGTTGAAATCCAAGCTAGCGATATCTCGACATCACATAGAATGCCAACAGGGATAGAAAAAACTAGAACCCCTGCTATTATTGCCAAATTTGTCCATCGCAAAAACAAAATCAAGATTTTTGAAAAAAGGAAACTCTTGCGTTCAGTAAAATCGAGCACCGACATCAAACATCCATCAAAAATATTCATCGCTAAAAATCTAACTGCCATAAATAAAGACCTATCTTTCAGAGCTAGATCAGCAAAAAATAATTGCGGATACAGATATATTTGGACTTCAAATGGAAAGGTATTTGTGAAAAAGAACAGTGATGTCAAGAATTCTCTATATATTAGATGTGAAGAAGATCTTTCTAAAATCAAATAACTATTTAAGTGAGTGTAATTTCTTATTTATTCTAGAATGACTAGTAGTGATTTTTTAACATGTTGCTTATGTAACAGATCAATAATATTAGGCCAAACAAAATTAAATTGTGAAATATCTGGCAAACAATTACACCTCGAATGTGCTATTATTTTCGCACCCTCAGATGCACCACTAGCTCAGCCTTATTTTTGCCAAGCATGTCTAAAGGAAACTCGATCGTATCAAAAGTTTCATGGTGCTTTTGCTAATAATTTTAAAGTGCTTAATGAACTGAGTAGATGTCGATGCCAAAACATAGAAGTGTCAGATTTTTTATTAGTAGGTCCATGTCAAAAAACTGTTTTATTGCTTTCCACTTGAACACTAGATCTCTCCAAAAGAATTGTGACGAGCTTGTTAACTTATTGTCTGAATTTGCTACCCCCCCCCCCCACATCTCATTGCTATTTCTGAAACAAGGACTGGCGTGACCCCTAATTCGAATATATCCTTAAATAATTATGATTTCATTCATAAACCTTCCATAACAATTGCTGGAGGGGTTGGCTTATATGTTAGTCGGGACCTTTCTTTTTGTCAAATCCATGAATATGACCTAGAGCACCCCGACTGTGGAGATTTATGGATAAACTTGAAAATTAATCTCAATATCTCATTCATAATAGGAGTAATTTATAAGCACCCAAGAAAAAATATTATTCAATTTACAAGTACCATTTCTAATGTATTAGATAGGTTGAACCGGGACAAAAGATTATTCATTTTGCTAGGAGACTGGAACATTGATTTATTGGGCCAATCGACAGATTTGGCCACTATGAAATATATAGATACGCATCTTGCCAATTTGTCATTGCCCTTAATTACAAAACCAACAAGAGTGACTCGCACCTCCAGCACACTAATCGATAATATTTTCACCAACGCCATAAACTATGATTTATTGAGCTTTGTTATTTTAACTGATACAAGTGACCATTATCCACAATTTTGCACCGTCTCTACTCCAATATTTACAAGAAGACAAAATCAAATTTTCAGGCGTGATATGAGAAATTTCTCTATTGATATGTATAGATCTGACATAGAATCATCTATCCTCCCAATATCAAATTGCCAAATTACATGTGATAATTTAAATATTTTATTTGACTCATTTGTAGCAATTATTAAATCGAGCATTGATGCTCACGCACCAATAAAACCATTGAGTCGGCATAAAACTAGACTTCTAGCCAAACCTTGGATAACCAAGGGAATTCGTGTTTCAGTTAAAGGAAACATAAAATGTATAAAACTCACTTTAAAAATGGTACTAACACGCAATATAGAACATAAAAAACTTATAGCAATTTACTGGCAGTTCTCATAAACAAGGCCAAAAAATGTACTACTTCAATAAAATTAAACAGGTCAGTGGTGATATTAGATCCACTTGGGACCTAATTGGTCGAATAGTTAACATCAAAAAAGAAAGAACGCCAGTGACTGCGATAAAAACAATAATAACTGATAATGGATCGAGGGTAAATGATCCATTATTAATCGCCAACTATTTTAATGATTACTTCACTTCTATAGGTCCGAATCTCTCTGAAAAAATCCCCCACATTGAGGGATCTTTTTTGAGTAATCTTAAAAACCCTATAAAAAAATCTCTTTTTCTTAGGCCGACAACTGTTAATGAAATATATACCACTATAGCGAGCTTATCTGATGATAAAGCAGTTGGTTATGATAACATACCAGCAAAATTCTTAAAATATGCTGCTGATTAGTTTCTCCCATGATGTGTAAACTATTTAATGCTTCCATAGACTATGGTATATTCCCAAATTGTTTAAAAATTGCCAAAGTCTCACCTGTGTACAAGACAGGAGATAAAGAATGTGCATCGAATTATCGCCCAATATCGGTTTTTTCTACGATGACTATAGTTTTTGAAAAAATTATACATAGTAGGCTAATCCAATTTATAGACCAACATAGCATCATAAACAAGTCACAGTTTGGATTTCAAAAAAAACATTCTACTAACCATGCAATGCTCGATATGGTGACTCATATTTATGACAAGATAGAGAGAAAGGAATACATTAGTGCTATTTTCCTTGACCTCAAAAAGGCGTTCGACACTGTCGACCATAACATTCTGATAAGAAAGATGAGCCACTATGGTATTCGCGGTCACGCGTTGACTTTTTTCAGGAGCTATTTGAGTTCACGTCAGCAATGTGTTAAATTTGGTTCGAATTGCTCCAAACTCTCGACTGTACAATGCGGAATTCCACAAGGATCGATTATTGGACCGATAATGTTTATTCTATTTGTCAATGACCTTCCTCATGCCACTAAATTACTTGTCAAACTCTTCGCTGAACATACCAGTTGGTTTGGAAGTTCAGCTTCGCCAAACGACTTGGAATTGCGGATGAATTCTGAAATGCAAAAAATTGCAACCTGGATGACCATAAATAAACTCACCATAAATATTGAAAAATCAAAATGCTTATTAATTAGTCCCAGGATAAATGAAAAAAATAAAATTCGGCTTCAAATTAATATTGACAAGGTTCAACTTGAAAATGTCAACTCATACAAATACCTAGGTATCCACATTGATGACC